AAATTGGGTGCAAAACTAGGTCTCATACGAGCCATTAGAGAATGGGTTTTTGGTTAAAAGGGGAAAACCATTTGTACATACCCTTCCAATAGGGAGAAAATTTAGATAGGGCAGTCGCACCGCCACCCTATTAATGTGCGCCACCTTGATGGGTGGGCTACCACACACCCCCGAGGTGTGTGGGCCATCCGCATAGGTGGTGTCTCTGGGTTGGACGGTCGCACCACGTGGATGGTACGACCACCCCACCCAAATTTCTCTCGAGAGACATGAAGTTGGCCCCACGCAATATACATGGGTGATAAAAAATAGCAAAAAAAGGTGCCGACCTCCCATCTTATGCGTTGCCTGTAGGGTTTCGTGCTGTACACATAGCTGAACGTGGTGCGACCGTCCCACCCAAATTTCTCTCTAAAGACAAGAAGTTGGCCCCACGCAGTATGCATGGGTGATAGCAAATAGCAAAAAAGGTGCCGACCTCCATCTTATGCGTTGCCTGTAGGGCTTCGTGCCGTGCACATAGCTGGGTTCTTGGTTAAAACATGTCAGGATTATATTGGAGATGAAAACAGATCTGCGGAAGCGTCACACATCGACGCACGCTTATTGTACCATTCAGACAAGACAATTCACAGAGATTCAGACAACCATTTCCCCTACATAAGTAGAAGCACTACCAACGCTGAAAGCAGTGTAGGTGTGCTCAATTCACTGCATAAATATTTTCGCACTTGTCCATTTCCCACTGCCGTTCGAAATGAGGTCTTAAATCCAAGATCCAGAGTCATGGAAGAAGTTTGGAATGATATTAATCTTGCTTCTCTTAACGACCACCCCACAGATTTCCGTGGAATGAACCTTCAGGATTTCTTGGCCAGAACCTGTCCTAACAAAGATTCAGTGCACATTTCTAGCGTCTCTTCCGGTTTTGCCTCTCCGACCACTATGCTCACCTTGAACTCAAGACCTGAATGGTTGCATTTCTCGGGAAACTCGGATCCTCTTAACCTAAGCTCTAGTTCACTGCCTCAGAGTCTGTCTATTTCTCCTGCGTGTCGTGTCAACGTTGCTTCAGAGGGTCATTGGAAGAAGAGATTCACAGAGCCTGGCAGCAATCTCGCCGGTGACCGACGGTACAAGCGTATGATCAAGAACCGGGAGTCAGCTTCTCGATCAAGGACTAGAAAGCAGGAAAGTCTCTTTTTATCACTTCTTTTATCTGCCGTATGGTTAACCTTTTCTGGTGATTACTATGATCAGCATGTAACCCTTTGTTAGCCTTAGCTGTGACTTGTGAGGTCATTTTCTAGAATAGATTTTGTAGGCTGCTTGAAATTTTCTGTACCTAATTTTTACCTGGACTCGAATGCCTTTTCTGTGGGTATTCTGTGGTCCATTTACATCTCTCGTTTCTTATTCATTCCACCTTATTATAGGCTTAT